TAGGTACTCTTTGTATTCATATTATATTGACACTGAGAGGTTAAGCAATTTGACCAAAGTCACAGGATTAAAATTCAGGGGGCTAGTTTCTAGTGTCCATTCTCAAAACCACTGTGCAAAACCACACAGAGAAAATCAACTGCATGAAAACATCTAGCTGATGGTGGCATTTTTCAGCTTGTAGCATAATTCTCCTAAGAGGTGAGGACCCCTGTGGTGTCATTAATGGAGAGGCAAAGTTTATCCTTGACTACCTATGAAAAGAAAGGCACTGCTAAAGGCCATCATTGTAAGAAATTTATTGAGGATGCTTGTTCAGATTAAAAAAGAATTCATTAGTGTTATAAATAAGCTCAACAGATCTACAGATCAGTCTTCTGCCTTATAACACCTAAATTTAGCTTAAATAAATATAGTCTCACTGGTCAGATCTCCATGTACAAAATTTGAAACCATAATTAACTGTGTGGGAGGTTGACAAGATGGAGGATGGGAGGTTAGGAGAAAATAAAAACCCGTAGCATTAGCCAAGTCATTGTTCCAGAAGAAAAACATTACTTTTTCTAATTTTGTTATCCTGAGAGGGCACATATTTGCACTAACTCCAGAGCAGGTGTGAGGGGTGAGACATCATTTTGTAATTCACACAAAGATACCACAATGGAAGCAAGAACCTAGCAAGTCTTGATTTTCAACTCAAATTTCTGACCTCAATATAACAAACTATATAAAAACAAAATGGGAAAATGTAATTATTTTATTTATGATGAGAAAAGGTCCAATAAAATTTAATTTCAGTAAAAGTTCCAATTTCTATATAAATCTACAAAAAGAGTGGGGATGGCTAACAAATAAGCAAACTACCAGAGAAATTTCTTAGCATATGTTTCATTTTTTAATCAAATTCAAGTTCTCAAGGCATTATGAATCTAAACTGTTCAGGATGAGTTTTGGCCAGTACAAATTATAGGCTAGAGATTTCTGTTGTTTTTGTTATATGCTGTCGAGTGGGACCCAACTCATAGCAACCCTTCTTTGGGTTTCTGAGGCAGTATCACTACAGAAGTAGATTGCTCCATCTTCCTTCCAAGGAGTGGCTGGTGGGTTTGAACGGCCAGCCTTCTGGTTAGCAGTCATGTGCCTTAGGCCCTACACTACCACAGCTCCCAGGCTAGAGATACTGGTGTGGGGGGGAAAAAACGGTTCTAGCAACAGTCATTTCTACCATTACCAGGAAATTAGAACTGCTAGATATATGGTTTAAGGAGTCCTGGTGGCACAATGTTTAAGCTCTCAGCTGCCAAAAGAAAGGTCAGTTGTTTGAACTCACCAGCAGTTCTGCAGGAGAAAGATGTGAAAAGATGAGGCAGTCTGCTTCGGCAAAGATTCACAGCCATGGAAACCCTACGGGGCAGTTCAACTCTGCAATAGGGTCACTATGAGTCTGAATTCTTCCATAGCAATACGTTTGGTTTTGGTTAGGGATATGGTTCAGATTTCCAGTAGGCCTGGGAGAGTGCTGGGATTGAGGATCGATTATACTTTCAAAGAATGTGCAAAGTGGAAAATACTTAAATGGATTAATGAATAAACCTTCCAGAGCTCCTCTGAGTGTGTGAAAAGTTGGGTTTAGATGAGAGTGAAACTTCCCTGAAACTCTATAATCAACCATCCCATTAGGACCCTCATAACGGTCCTTCTACCTGTATATAAACTGGCACTGGTGAAGTTAACTCGATACTGTTGGGGTATTTGCCTTTAGGAATTCCAGGTTTGCTTGACTTTATATTATTACATCAAACAAGTCACTGGTGAAATTTTTTGAAAATATTTGGGGAAAATTTTGGGAAACACCTTTATAACCATCTTTAATCTACAAACATAATGGAAGATCTGAAAGAGATGAAGTGACAAAACAACAAAATCTCAAGAAGAATCTATAAGAATTATTCATGATTTGTAAATGATCAATTGATCTTCTTAGGTTTCATATGATTCCAAAGAATTACACCCCAGTAGTAATCCAGATATCACATTGGGGAATCTAGAAAAGTAATCTGATATAGTATAATTTGATCTAAGAAAAGAATATTAGAGATGATTTAAAAAAAAAAAATAAAAACCATAGAGAAGTAGTTTTGCACTGCATGGTGGATGTTTTAATCATAACGTATCCTAAAGATGATAATGATTGATTTTTGTTTAGGAAGAAGATGAAAAGACATACACAATTTTAAAATAATATTCTTTTGATGAATTAGGCTATGAGATGAATAGGAAAGAAAACCTAAAGTAGAAATAGAAATATTTGTTTTTTGACAACTTCTAAGAGTTTTCAAAGACCAGAAGTATTCCAAAGATAAAATAAGAGATTTAATAGATCTAATTTGGAAAGAAAGCAAAATGGACTATGATTTGAAAAATAAAAATTGCATTGCTAGCTTTAAGAAACTTAAGAATGAATGGGAAGTTAGAATATATGAAGATGTAAAGATGCAGTGTTTTAATTTTTATTTGAATAACAGAAAATTAAATCTTTTGAATAAACGGAGGTGAATAATTATGTTGCTGAGGTGACTGAAGTATTTATCTGGAAAGGTGGATGTCACCTACCTAAATATGACACACACGCCTGAATGCAGGGAAGATAGGACCCTGGGGAATAAGACAAGATTAAAGAAGGAGGTTAAAGACTATCTTCAGAGATATAATATGAAGAAATAAAATTTTAAAGTACTCCACTCACATAAGATAAAAAATAATGAGATGAGGGAAAAAAAAAAAAAAAAAGCTGAGTTGGGGGCTAGGAAATTAATATGGGAAATCAAGAAGATCACTATGACTGCTAGTCAAAGTCACCAAGGAAAAGGATGGATACATATCCTCATGGAAAAGATCACTGCCTGAGCACATTTCAAATTATAAATTCAATTTAATCTCCTTCTCCAAGTCAACATTAATGTTACATAAGATGTCACAAGAAATTTTACATCCTTCCTTTATGAAACTTTACAAAGAATTTTAACATTAGAGTTTTAATAAACAAATTTAAATATGTGACCAGTCAATATAAAATGCTATAATTTTCTTCAAATATATTTCAGATTGAGCTAGTCATCCTTATACCACTATATTCCAAGATGATGACATTCTTGAGAAGGAACTGAAAAAAGACATAATGATGTATTCACATAATGTGATTGACTTAAAATCAGAATAAAAATTATCCATTCAAAGACATTTTTATTAGAGTCACACCTAACTACCAAAACACCTAACTACCTTCACCTAAATTTAGGTTAAATTAATAAGCCAAGTAAGAATTTTACATATTTCATTCATACTCAAAATAGTCAAATATACAGTGTATCACTTAAAATATATTATCTCATTCTTTATTTGAACAACTATTCTATGACTTCTGTAATAATAGATATATTTCTAACAATAGATTCTATTAAGGATAGTTTTCTTTCTAAGAATATATTCTAAATTCTCTATGTGGGGATTATTTATAGATTAAGAAAATTAGTCACTATAAAAACAAATTAGTTCATAGGCTTTGGAGGCATTTGTGAGTATTTTATTCTCTGTAATTTGGAAAGTAATATAAAAAAATTTAGAATGCTCATATTTAAATAAAATTTCACAAATTAAACAGTAAAATTAAAGTGAATATATGCTAGCAAATAAGATAAATACTAATAATAAAACAAATAATATACAGGATGATAATTGTTTATTTACATCAAATGTATTTTCTTCATATTTGCAGGAATATTTCTAGTCATTTTTCTTCTATAAGCAAAAGTGATGTAGATAAATTAAAATCATCATGAGGTTATAGTTAGTACATCATTGCCCCAAATAACATGAATTATATTTAGGATTATGTTACAACAGGGATCCCTGTATCAAATTCATGTTGATCACTACGTGCTCTAATTTGTATATAAATAAAACTTACTTACTTGAGCAAAAGTAAGGCAACCAGCTTCTGATACTTCTTACTCTTAAGTCATAATTGTTACATTATTTGCTTCTAAAGAGCATTTGATGTAACAAATAGCTGACAGAAACAGGTTGAAAACAAACTAAAACACTCTAGTTTGGGGCTGAGGTAAACAACAACGATCATAAAACTAATTACTGAAAATATGCATCAAAAACTTCTCTTGTTAGAGAATGATTGGAATAAGCTTACACAAACACCACCTTCTAATATAAAGCTATGTCCTAAAAATTTCCCCAAATTGAATGCAGTGTCCTCTTGCTCTCCACAAATGTTGCTTCTAGTCTTTTTTACTGCAGTCAAATTAATTCTAATCACACCCACACACTGAGAAAATAATAAGAAAGAAAAAAAAATCAACCATCAATAAACAGTAGATTGAGAGAACTTAATGAATTCTGAAATCTAACTGATGCCTTAGGAGCATTGTAACCAGAAATAGAAAGCAAACCTCATGATATTCATAAAGTATTTTTTTTTCTCCTAGATCTTTAAATATCCAATATTATGCGGATATATATTCGATATATTAAGATTAGATGTGATTTTTTCCCAAATACACAGTTTACCTTTAGTATATATTAGACAGTATATTTTTACTTCCACAAAGACCATGAAATTGCTTTATACCTGGGACAATGTGGAACTCTATGATGCTTAGCCGACTATATAGCCACATAATTTCTCATTTTCACTGCTTCCAATGAGGCCTGACAGTTCACCAGTTTATAGCAGTGGCAGATGACTAGAAAAGAAGTTTCTAGTTCTCTAATTTCCTTTTAGAAAAGATTTTCTGAAAATTCAGGATTAAAAAAAAAAAATAGCTTGTGAATAATGAAATACACTGCTACACTCAACCAGGTTTTATACTCTTGCAATATTCCTATCACATGGAACAAGGTCCAGAAGTTGAAAATAAAGCAATGCCATTTAAGAACTTCTTAAAGTAATCACCAAAGAATAAATATGAAAAGCCATTTCTAATTACCTCTGTTAAGTGATGCTGAACTGTTTATATCTCCAGTAATAAAGGAAGATTCTGACTGTTTTCGAACCGTGTCATTCCACATTCTACGAATTCGGCTCTGGATGAAGAAAAAGGAAGGAAATGAACTCGTCTGGCAGTGAATTTTCACAAAATTAATTCTGATTATTTCTGCTATAGTTATACGAGAAAATTTATTTTCTGGCATCTGGCAAATAAATAGCTTCTACATGATTGTAGTACACTACCATAAGAACAACTAAAATAACAAAAAAAAAAGAACATCAAAAACTAAATTTATGCAAATAATTGTTTTAATTAACTGTATTCCTAACTGCCTAAACCAAAGATAAATATAACTGTGAAAAAAGAATAAATATGTAATACTATCAATTTAGTTATGTTGATGATATATAGGACATATACTTAGAAAATTATAATTTAATATAAAACAAATCATTTATATTGTAATTTTATGGGGTAGCAATACTTAAAAACACATTACACTTAATTTTATTAACAAAAAATGAAGTTTAAGAATTCAGAATCTTGCAAAAAATGAGATAGTTTAGCATGAAAAGAACAGAGAATACTATTGAAATACTATTGAGTTCACATTTTCTATACATTCTGTAAGACTAAAGTGATTTTGAAGATTCTCTACTGTCCTAACTTTTCCTTTCTTTAGAAGGAGATTGAAAAAATAAAAAGTCAATTCACTCATACCCTTTTTGCAAAATAGGACGCTTTATAGAGATGTGAAAATTCTTAAATAATTTTTTCATATTTTCAGATTCAAATATTTAAATATCATATAATTCAAGAAAGAAGTGCAATATTGTTTGGAAAACACTTTCCTGTTTTATTAATTTATTAAGTTAGGAAATTTTAAAAAATGTATTAAAATCTTTCAGGAGGAAACAAATATTTTCAGAAGCTTTTCCAAACATAAAATAGTTACTAGAACTATTTATTTTCAGGAACTTTGGTGGTGCAATGCCTTAAGCATTTGACTGCTAACGAGAAGGCTGGCAATTCAAACCCACCAGCCATTCCTCGGAAGGAAGGTTTCTACTGCTAATGGTGAAACTACACTCACAAATGGGTTCTGTTCCATATATGTTTGAAATTCCTGAACAGTAGGAATACCTAATGTTAGAATATTGGACAGTAAATTTTATGATTCTTAGAACATTTTTACCCTTCAGAAATATTGTTCTATATCACATTTACCCTAGGTAAACAATGTACACACACATACATACATACATGAACACTTCAAAGTTAATACACATATAATAAGAAAACTTGTACAGGCTTTTAGAAAATAAATATTTTAGAAATTTTTTAATTGAAAAATATTTCAAAACTCCAAACTGGCATACTGGGGACAAGTCTATCATATTTATCAATTAGCTAGCTAATTGATTTATTAATTAACCCAAAACTATGAATTATTCTCTACTGCATGACAAATACTAATAACTTAGGTGATATAAAGGAAAAGAGAAGCACAGGAAATTTTTGCCCGTGGGAGCTGTTAATCTGGTAAGGGACTTTTTAATCAAATTATTAAAAATATAAATGAAAACAATGTAAACAAAATGTTATAGAAACAATTACAACAAAAAAAATTTGGACATCACAAATGACTAATAATAGTTTAATAGATGAATAAATTCTGTAGAATAATCTACAGAAGTAAAAATGCAAAAGCAATGTAGCCTCCTGTAGCAACTTCAATGTCAAGGGAAATCAAACATAAAAGAATGTGCACTGAATGATTTCGTGTGAGTAAATATCAAACACATGCAAAATTAAATGTACTGTTTAATGTTAAGATAGTGGTTACATCTAGGGAGCAAAGAATTTGTTATTGACAGGGAATCAAAGACATTTGGGGTACTCCAAGTGTTCTAATACTTGACCTGGAGTGGTAATAATTCACTGTGCCTTATACTTACATATTTTCACTGTGCCTTATACTTACATGTTTTGTATTTTTATAAGTGTGTGTTATACTACACAATTTAAAAAAAATGCTTTAAAAAACTGCTATAAGACAAGACAATGTAGTAAAACTTCAGAGTCCTCTAAGAATATATAATAAGGAGCCATACTCTGGCCTAGGGAGTCAGAGAAGTCTGTACTAAAGAAGTGGCATGTTAATTGAGAGCTGATGGAGTTACTGTAATTGTCAGATGACATTTATATAAGCCGTCCCCTATTATCTCTTTGACCTCGTCTTGTCTTAGTCTCCCTTTGCTCTGTTCTACCCACACTTGTCCTTTGTTATTCTGCAGCATGCCAGGCATGATTCTGCTTTAGAGTTTAACACTGGGTGTTTCCCCTGACTTGAGTGTCCTTCTCTCAGGAAAAGTCCGGCTAACTCCCTCCTCTTTTTTAAGTCTTTGCTGAAATTTCATCTCCTTAAAGTGGTCTAACATGTCCACTTTATTTAGAAGTGTATTCCATCCCACCCAACCCACTCATAACCTTAGTTCCCTTTACCTGCTTCCCCTTCCCTCCAGTCATTAATTTGTTGTTGTTGTCATGTGCCGTCGAGTCAGCCCTGACTCATAGCGACCCCTCCTTGGGTTTCCGAGGCAGTATCACTACGGAAGTAGGATTGCCCAACCTTCCTTCCGAGGAGTGGCTGGTGGGTTTGAACCGCCAGCCTTCTGGTTAGCAGTCAAGTGCCTTAGCCACTATGCTACCAGAGCTCCCAGTCATTGATATCTTCTACAATTTCATTTAATAGATAATGTACTTATATTTTATACATATAGTCTACACTTAATATAGGAGCTCTGGTAGCATAGTGGCTAAGGCACTCGACTGCTAACCAGAAGGCTGGCGGTTCAAACCCACCAGCCACTCCTCGGAAGGAAGGTTGGGCAACCCTACTTCCGTAGTGATATTGCCTCGGAAACCCAAGGAGGGGTCGCTATGAGTTGGGTCCTACTCGGCAGCACATAACAACAACAACAACACTTAATATCTGCCTCTAGCATTAGGCTTCAGTTGGATTTTTGTCCACAGACATATTACATATATACATAGTGTCAGGAGCTCTGGTGGCTTAGTGCCTAAGACATTTGACCACTAATCAGAAGGTTAGTGGTTCGAACCCACCAGCTACTCCTTGAAAAGAAGATTGGGAAATCTACTTCTGTAGAGATACTGGTTCAGAAACCCAAGGAGTGGTTGCTATTTGTCGAATTTGACTTGACAGCAGTGAGTTTGGTTTATTTTTTTGGAAAAGAGTGTCAGATTGGTATCCATTTTAATATTATGCCTCACTGTAGTTATATAAGGCATACATTTCTCATATTTTAAACATTATATAATAAAAAGCAAATAAATATAAAGTGTTGATAAAATTAATAAGAAATGAATGACAGAAGAATTAATCAAAGTTCAAAGTGGGAAGGACCACCCTTCAGTACAAAGGTTTTATAAAACAAAAATCCCAATACATCTCTGTGAATGTATATTTATGAGTGTGTTCTTTATCAAGTTATAAGACTTCTAAGTCATTAGCTGCAAGAAGTATGTGTTGGGTGGGGGAGGTCAGCTGGTAGAGCAAGTTTCACTTTTTAGTCTTGCCATTCATTCCATTCCATTATCTACACAGCTGTACTGACCTTTACAAAATGTGAATATTAGCTTATTACTTCCTTTTCTAAATCACACAGTTGGCTTTCCAAAAAATTCAAAATAAAATCCAAAGTTGCTTATTTTTTCAAATACTTAATGATCTGTCTTTTGCCTCTTTCACTTCATCTTTCATTCACTCACCCACTATGATCAGTGTTTGTGTGTGTGTGTGTGTGATGTGCCGTCAAGTCAGACCCGACTCACAGTGACCCCTCCTTGGGTTTCTGAGGCAGTATCACTACGGAAGGATGTTGTGCAACCCTCCTTCCAAGGAGTGGCTGGTGGGTTTAAACAGCCAGCTTCTGGTTAGCAGTCAAGTGCCTTAGGCACTAAGCTAATAGAGCTCCTACTATGATCAGTATATTCTTTCTATTCCTTAATTTGCCAAGCTCTCCTCTACAGTATTAATTATTTTCTCTACCTAAAATTTTCTTCGCTGCAAATTCCTTCCTATCATTCAGATCACTATAAAAATATTACCTCTTAACATGATCTTTCCCCACTACTCAATCTAAGTAACTACCCAGATATGCTCTCAGACATTACCAAATTTTAGTTCTCTGCTACCAGTTTACATAATCTGATTTTTTATTTTTGTTTGTTTATAAATTTTCTATCTCCCACTACTACAATGAAAGCTGTCAATAATATGTTTCTTTTAAACTACTGTATCCCCAGAGTTTAAAGCAGTGGTTGGCATTGCATCAAAGAAACTAAAAATCTCTAAATAAAAAAAGTAAAAAATGTACACATTGATATTTCAGAAGTTCTTGACATGAAAAAAGCATTCATTTAATATTTAACTCCCAAAGTTTTATCTTAATATTGGTAATTATTCTAGGCTTCTCTTAAGGAAGACAAAAAATAATAATTTTAAATTAGGTTACAAAAGAAATTTATTATTTTTTTTACTTAAAAAACCAGACTAGACCTAAATAATTATCTTGTTAAGAGGGCTTGTATTATCAATTGGAATAAGTATTACATCATGTATTTTAAAAAGTGAGATTTTTTTTTTAAATAAGAATAGAATTTTACTACAACTATAAAAGTGAAGAAAAATGATACAGCTTTAAAATATAGACCTAAAATAATAATCTGTCATTATGATGCTAATAAATGGTTGTAACTACAGTTTATTGAACACCTATAAGGATTTCTATGTTGTGCATATATGGTTTCAATTTTCACAACAAGCTTAGAAATTGGTATTACTACCACTACTTAAGAGATGAACATACCGAGGCTCATTGAGTTTAATTAACTTGTTCTATGTCATAGCTTCTTAGTGCAAAGGCCCTGATTGAAACCAAGGTCTACCTGCCAAGCAATTTAAGATTATTTCTAAACTTTATAGAAAAGTTTAGAAATACTGCTACACATTATACAACTATTATAACTTAATAAATGAAATTCTCCAATATTATTATCTCATTAATTACATGTATCAATAAAAAGGTAGTGACTAATCACCCAAGTAATATGAAAATCACGTAGGAGCTAACCAGGTTAGATGACATACAGAATCTCAGTAATCTTAAATTGAAGTTGTGGCAAGGTTATTACAAAGGAGGTGATGAGATGGCTCATGGATCATTAGATAGAAGATAAAAGCATGAATTAAAAAAAGGACTTTAAGCTGGAAACATCATCTACGTTTGCCTCTACTCTTATGCAGGACTTTCAATTTCTGATGGGCAAATTTCCAAAAATTCAAGCTCACTGCCGTCGAGTTGGATCCAACTCATGGTTACCCCTCCTGGGGTTTCCGAGGCAATATCTCTACAGAAATAGATTGCCCAGTCTTCCTTCCAAGGAGTGGCTGGTGGGTTTGAACTGCCAGCCTTCTGGTTAGCAGTCAAATGCCTTAGGCACTATACCACCAAAGCTAATTTAGTAGTCCCAAAATCAGAAAACTTGAGCTGTTACATCTATTCCCCTTACTTTGAAACTGCACAACTTCAGTAATGTATAATACACTGTCATGGAGTCGGATCCGACTCAGAGTGACCCCTTCTTGTGTTTCTGAGGCAGTATCACCATGGAAGTAGATTGCCCAACTTTCCTTCCAAGGAGTGGCTGGTGGTCTTGAACCAACAGTCTTCTGGTTAGCATTCAAGTGCCTTAGGCACTACGCTACCAGAGAAATAATCAAACATAGTATATTAATGATTGTGTGTTATATTTATGAATAAGTTTCAAAATCTTGATGAAAATTGTGCTTATTATTTAATCTTTAAGATGATTTGATACATTTGAGAGGTGTATGTTAGTTTTAAAAATTTAATTGATAATGGATATGTGGGTTTATTTTTAAGATAAGAGAGAACTTCAATAATTTTGAAAAAAGTGTTTATAAAACACTGTTCACTACTGTTTATTTACAAGAATTATTCAAAGGCTATTTAGGTTTTCATGTCTGTCTAGTCAAGTGGTTGATGTGTTTGAAAGGATCAGATATATTAAATTTGTAATTATATTTAAAAGGTACAGAGAATTTAAGTTTCTAAGCATATAACTGATGTTGTTTAGGGAAATTTAGTCTATTAAGCTTATAAGCAAATGAGCATTAATCAAGAACAAATGAAGTGATCTTTTATGTTTTATATAAGATTCACAAACGTTGGAAACTATAATTAGATTTGTTGGTTAAATTTAACGAATTAAGAAATATTAAGTTCTTGATTCATAGCTTTGTTGTTGTTGTTATGTGCCGTCGAGTCGGACCTGACTCACAGCGACCCCTCCTTGGGTTTCCGAGGCAGTATCACTACGGAAGTAGATTGCCCATCTTCCTTCCGAGGAGTGGCTGGTGGGTTTGAACCTCCAGCCTTCTAGTTAGCAGTCAAGTGCCTTAGGCACTATGCTACCAGAGCTCCTGATTCATAGCTTTAGTAATTATCAGTTGACATTCAAATCTTATTCAGAAAAACTTAATTGATAACACTAAAATCATTATTGTTTTTCCTACCAAATCATGAAATTTTTAAAATATTAAAGTGTACTAGTCTGAACTCAAACTTACATATTACCTCTATAATGCTACATATTTTATTTGTTTTAATTCACTTTAGCATCTTGGAGTTGCTGAAAGTTGTACAGCATAATCTTTGGGATGATGCTCTGGCCTGAGTAAAAATGGCAGACAAGTTTCCTAAAAGTAAAAATTTCCCTAGTGATGGATGATGTAACCATACTGGACATTGGGATTATATGGTAGTAGCACTCAGACGAGCTAGTCAATGATGGTTTTACATTTTTCTTCATTGTCCTGACTCGTTCTTCATCTCATCAACTCAAAATATGGTACGATACTTATAATGCACAATGCTGAGGAATATTAGGAGAATTCTGAAGTGTCAGATTGATGTAAAATACATGTTTTTTGTTTGCCTGTCTTACAGTTAAACTGATTACACATTTTCATAATTCTATTGCAATTGTGATTTTTTCTATTTCTTTATAAGCATTCCTATTTCTGACATGGTAAAACACCAAAACAACACACATGATGTGTTAAATACTTGAGATAGAAATAGCACTGATCAAGAAAGACCCTAACTCATAATGGAATGTAAATAAGTGATAGTTTATTTCAATTAACAAATATTTACCTGTGAGCCTGTGGAGTAGCGTCCAGGAGTTCGAGAACCAGATGTTTTCCCTGAGCCAATGGAACTCTCTGTACTTTTGCCACTACAGCAATGTGTTCTCAGGCATTTTCCAAATTCTTTTCGTACCTAGCCAATTAAATATTAATTTCTGTTAGTGAGTAATTCATTTTAACTAGAAAGTAAGGTACGAAATGTATGTGAGTTGTATTTTTATATAACTATTATAATCATTTCCTTGTCCTACAGATGCAAGAAAGTCTGTTCAGCACATACTTCACAATATAAAATAATTGTACTAGTATCACCAACCTTGAAATTTTGCATGGGTGGAGTCTTTAACACACACACATACACACATACACACAGACCTCTAATCGTACTATGATGGCACTACTTCTTAGTTCAAAAAACAAAGATACTTCAAAACCCTATTTAGTTTCATAACCTTGATATAAAATAACCTAAGGCTGAGAGGGGATTCTAGTCTTTAGCAGGAGTCTAGTGAGAAGTTAAGATAGAAGGAAAAAAAAAGGACAAAGAGTAAATGGGAGGAATGGAGGGCGGGAAGGAAGAAAAATGAGGAAGGAAGGAAGGAGAGATGGGGGGAGGGAAAGAGAAAGAGAGAGGAAAAGAGGATCAGAGGGAGAGAAGAAAAAAGAGGCAGAATATTTTAAGTGACAGAAAAAGGAATAAGCTGGGCTAAGCATTTCCTTTAAAGGTATAGGTCTGTGTTTGAAGTCAATTTCTCTTAAAAGAAGTAAAATTTGCAACATTAGAATATAAAATTCAAAATATTTGTAACTTATTGCTTCAAAATACTTCAATAACCACAGAGAAAATGATTGACATTCTTTATAGCGTTGCTAATTAAATTTTAAGTCCTGATTATAGTATAAAATAATGGGGGAAAATTAGATAAACGTTTTTTAATTGTTTTGAAGTAGGGAAATATATAAAACACTTATAGGGAAATTTTATATTTAATTATTATTTATTTAATCAAACAACATATATAAAAAATTAAACAATGATTGGTGTAAATTTTACCTCTACTACCAATAACAAGAACAAACCCACCCCCCAACTCTGTATTCATCAACTATGTATACATCTTGGGATATTTTATCATAAAGGTTATATATTCACAAATTTACTGTATGATATAGTACTATGTATACATTATCTTTAACTCTTTATATATGATTTTATACAGATGCATAACTTCCACAATTATTCCAATGCAATTTCATTTAAAACAATGCTATAAACTTATGCTTTTTTAAGGAAGGTTAATTAGAATCAAGAGCTAAAAAAGAACCTGAACGCTATATTAAAATTTTACTTAAAACTTAATATTATATAGTTCTTTCTGTCAAGGATAGTTTAAGTCTGAGCTACAATGTATTCATATTTGTTGGAAGCACTCCTATTTATTGAATGCTTAATATATGGTAGGAACAATGAGACAGACAAGATTGAGTGGTTCATAGCATGGATGGGAAGTGCCTACTGGAGGTAGGGGGACCAGAGAAAGCTTATAGGAGAAAAGACCTTCCAAGGAAATCTTCATAAAACCAAACACACTGCCATCGAGTCGATTCTGACTCATAGTCACTGTATAGGACAGAGCAGAAATGCTCCATGACCTTTCCAAGGCTGTAAATCTTAAAAGAAGCAGACTGCCTCATCTTTTTCCCACAAGGCAGCCTATGAGTTCAGACCACCAATGTTTTTAGTTATCAGCTGAATGCCTTATCCATTGTACCACCAGAGCTCCCAAATCTTCATTTTTAAAAAAATGTAATTAGTCATTTTGAAGGGTGATGTTGAAATAAAGGATAGGGGCAAGAGAGAAAAAGGATTCTAGGTGTAGAGTACAGTGTGAGCAATGCAGAGGCGAGATAGCATGATGTGCTAACTTGTAGGTTTTTATCTTCTCCAGGAAGCCAAGATACAGAGAAAAAGGTCATATAATACATTACATGAATAATAATATTAATGACCTTTTTCTCTTTATCTGAAAAAAAAATGGCAAATGTTTCACATTGCATTTAAGAAGATTTTAAAAAATATATACCCAAAGATAAACCAAACCAAATATACTACCGTCGAGTCAGATCTGACTCATAATGACCCCTCCTTGGGTTTCTGAGGTGGTATCACTACAGAAGTAGTGATTTTCCTCCTTCCAAATCTTTCTTCTGAGGTGTGGCTCATGGGTTTGAACCACTAGCTTTCTGGTTTTCAGTCAAATGCCTTAGGCACTATGCCACCAGAGCTCCCATACCCAAAGATAAGCACTATAAATTATAGCTTAGTAATTTCTACTGTACTTACAAAGCATCTTTAAACACCAAAACATTGATCATAAACTTCTCCCACCTCTCACCTTGTTTTCCCTAATAAATACAATAAATGATAATTCTCTTTGTAGAAGAATATTTTCTTTAATGAAGCAATTTAAATCTAAACAAATACTTCAGGAGACAGAGAGAGAGAGACAGGGAGCAAAAGAACAGGAGATGGGAGGGAGGAAAGAGAGAGAACTACCCCATACTGTCATAAAGGCAGGGATATAGAAACCATATGAATTCATCAAGGGCTATTTGAATTTTCCAAGGAAGGCTAAATGATCTGCAATAATTACACAAACAGCCAGCAAATCAAGATCTCTGATGATGCCAAGTCCTACATTAGCTACATTACTTACTGAATCATTATACTGACTTCACTGTGTTGTGATTTGATTTGAAATCGTAAGCATGTGTTTTAAAAAGGAGAAAGCAAAATAACATGGACCATGTCCATGAAACATTTTTCTTAAGATTACAGTAAGTTATTTGACTGGCCCATTTTTTGCATATTTTAATCTATTATTTCACATGATAGTCCACTTTAATTACCCCTAATTAGATGAGGATATTTTATTCCACTGTGTTGGTTTTTAAGAATATACAAGATAGGAAAGAAAATATATTTACCAATGTAATTATTTCTTTCATACTCTCAGATACAAAACAGTAACAAAACCCTCTTAAACAGTATCAAAGATTTGGCTCCATGGCAAAATCAAAAGTGACTATTTCAATGTCACTAGTAGAAAAACTGGTGACAGTCATGGAAAGTACACTCAAAGAAAGATTAAACATTTAGTTCGATTTTGTTAATAATTAATCACTAAATAATCCTGTAAAGTCTAAAAAATCTCAAAAACAGAATACTTTTTATTTCTCTACTCTAACAATATGAGCCAACATTGTTGTGGTTGTTGGTGGTTGCCATTGAGTCAAGTCCAACTAATGAAGATTTTTGTTGTTGCTGTTAGGTGTCATCGAGTCTCCTCCAACTCATAGTGACCCTAGGCACAGCAGAACAAAACACTGCCCAGTCCTGTGCCAACCTCATGATCCCTTCTTTACTTGAGCCCATCACCGCAGCCACATGTCAATCAATCTCATTGATGGCCTTTTCCTCCTTCATTGACCCTCCACCTTACCAAGCATGACATCCTTATCCAGGAATGGTCCCTTCTGACAACATAACCAAAGTAGGTGAGATGAAGTCTGGCCATTCTGGCTTCCGAGGAGCATTCTGGGTGCACTTCCTCCAGGACAGATTTATTAGTTCTTTTAGCAGTCCATGGCACTTTTGTCATTCTTTGCCAGGCACAACTCAAAAGCCTCAACTTTTCTTCAGTCTTCCTATCCATTGTCCAGATCTCACATGCATATGAGGTGACTGAAAATACTATAGCTTGTGTCAGGCACACCTTAGTCCTCAAGGAGACATCTTTGCTCTTCAGCACTTGAAAGAGGTCCTTTGCAGCTGATTTGCCCAGTGCTCTACTTTGCCTGATGTCCTGACTGCTGCTTCAATTGGCGTCAATTGTAAAACCAAGCAATATGAAGTCTTTGGCAACTTCAATCTTTTCTCCATTTATCATGATGCTGCTTATAGGTCCAGTTGTGAGGATTTTTGTTTTCATTATATTGAGATGTAATCCATACTGCAGACTGTATTCTTCAATCTTCATCAGTGTCAAGTCATCCTCACTTTCAGCAAGCAAAGTTGTGTCATCAGCATATCTCAGGTTCATGATTCTTCCTCTAATCCTGATGCCACGTTCTTCTTCATATAGTCCAGCTTCTCAGATTATTTGCTCAACATAGAGATTGAATAAGCATGGTGAAAGGATACAACCCTGATGCACTCCCTCCTTTGTTTTAACCCAGGCAGTATCCCCTTGTTCTGTTTGAATGATAGTTTCCTGGTCTATGTACAGGTTCCTCATGAGTACAATTAAGTGTTCTGGAATTCCAATTCTTCTCAATGTTACCCATAATTTGTTATGATCCACACAATCAAATACTTTTGCATAGTCAATAAAATACAAAGTAAACATATTTCTGGTATTCTTTGCTTTGAGCCAAGATCCACCTGGTGTCAGCAATGATATCCTTCATTCCATGGCTTCCAAATCCAGCTTGCATTTCTGGAAGTTCTCTGTCAATATACTGCTGCAACCATTGTTTAATTATCTTCAGTAAGATTTTATTTGCATGAGATAATAATGATATTGTTCGATAATTTCCACATTCTGTGGGATCACCTTTCTTTGGAATGGGTACAAATATGGATCTCTTCTAGTCAGTTGGCCAGGTAGCTCTCTTCCAAATCTCTCAGCATAGCCAAGTGAATGCCTCCAGTGGGGCATCCATTTGTTGAAACATCTCAATGGGTATTCCATCAATTCCCAGAGCCTTGCTCTTCAGCAATTCTTTCAGTATGGCTTTGACTTCTTCCTTCAATATTCTTGGTTCTTGATCATATACCAACTCTTGAACCAATTCTTTTTGGTACAGTGACCCTGTGTATTCCTTCTATCTTTTTTTGAGGTTTCCTGCATCATTCAATATTTTGCCCATAGAATCTTTCAATATTGTAACTTGAGGCTTAATTTTTCTTCCTCAGTTCTTTCAACTTGAGAAATGCTGAGCATGTTCTTCCCTTTTGGTTGTCTAACTCCAGGTCTTTGCACATTTCATTATAGTAATTGGCTTTGTCTTCTCAAGCTGCTCTTTGAAATATTCTGTTCACTCTTTTATCTTGTCATTTTTTTTTTTCCC